CTCCTCGAGGGATATATTTGCATACCTTTCATGCATAGCTCCCAACCTAGGTAGGAACCCTGCTTGATTCCATAAAAGATTGGCAAATGAAAAAAAAAAACTCTATTAGTGGCATATGTATAGAATCCACTCTAATTGGACTATATTGGAAGCATTACAAATGATCCATTTGTGATCCGACCCTTCCCTTTTTAATCCAGCAAAACCTAATCTATCTATAATTCTTTAGATAAAACCATCTATCCATCCGGAACAACTCCAAATGAACAAGCTATAATTCTTTGCAGTTTTTTCCAGGGCTAAAATTCAAAAAAGAGTGAATTTGTAGTCTTTAGTTTCGACTTTCGATTCAACCATGTTAGCATTTTTTCCCCGAAGTTTTTTTATGGATTGAAAACTAGTTAACACCAATTAATTTGATTTGCACCCATGTTTTTGATGATATTTGACTTTGCACCCTATAACCAAATTATTAAAGTATGCATCCCAAATCACTATAAAATCATTTGATTTTGCATCTCACTCTTTCGCAATTTTGGACTGATGGACGCATACAGTTGAACTTTGAAATTCAAAAAGATTCTTTTTTTGTTTACAGGAATTCAAAAAGAACTTTATTACTTTGAAATTGAATCCCATTTTTATGATTATGTTTTTAGGGTCTAAGGTCTAGGGTCTAAGATTTTAAAATATGAGTTTTGAATTTCTATTTCAAAGTAAGAACTAAGAATGGCGTCATAGGTGCAATATTAAATTCTAATTCCTTTACTCAAACCTATTATCTTTATTCTTTATGATAAAATAGAAGCTTCAAACCATAACTGAATTATAAAGTAATTACAATTTGATAGTCTTCATTTACAATTTAAGGTTAAAAAAATGTTACAAATTTGATGAAAATTCCTATATTAAAGTGGGGTATATGAGTTGCCCTCACTCATATTTTGGTTGATATAAACATACATATTTTCTAAATGTATCATAATTTATAGTTACATAACCAATGAGTTGCATGCAGTGGCGGAGTCAGAGATTTTTCGAAGGGGGACATACTGAAGGCTAAGATTTATGGTGTATTTTCTCAAAATATAATTAAAACAATAAAAAGTGTAATACATTAGCACAAATTAGTTATTACATTCTACTTGACTCATATCTAATATAATCTGGGTAAATGAATCATACGAGTTTTAATGTGTTCAAAATTTTGCATAGGAAAACGAGCTCATAGGACTCTTGTACACTCATCTGCATATTCAAAACTCAAAAAGTTCTCAGAGAACTAAGCAGTCTTACCCATATCTATTATAATCTAATCAAAGCTTTTTTTGAATTTTTTATACACCATTACATATCTACATTCTTCCAAGAAGTATCCACAAGTATCCACAAAGTTCTTCAAAATGTTTTAGAGGCTTCCACGCTCTTTCACACGGTTTTAGTGAGTTCCACACTTTTATAGAAAACTTACAAATATTATTCTAGAACATTCATGACTTCTCTACATGCATATACAAAATCGACATCTTTGCAAATTCTAAAATTCTCATGAATTTTCCATTGAGGGAATCCAACACAGTCTTGAGAATGTTTGGATCATTTTGTTTGAAGAAATGTGACAACATATTCATTAATCTCAATACTCTTTTGCACTATAACCACAAAAAGTCAACAACCCGTGTGACATTAAAGGGCTAAAACAATTCACACTTGCATTCAAATGAGTGACGTACGCTGCATTCAATACATACTTGTATTCCTAGCGACGCGTTTCCTGAAATATTTTGTCTTTTATTTTAATACTTAATCTAAAATTGTCTTTAATGAGTTTTTTTTTAAAGAATGGGAACATTAAATATATTATAAGTAGTAGTACTAATTTTTTTTTGTTCGAAGCGGGGACGCTTGCTCCTCCATGCCCCCGCCCAGCTCCTCCACTGGTTGCATGTATCATAATGTACAGTTACGTAATTAATTATTTTTTATAAATATGTCGGTCAAACCGTCAAATAACATTACATCTGATGATCTGATTTATCCAATTAAACATTAGGAGTAACTTGTACCTTAATTTCTACAAGAAAGTGATTGTTTATATCAACTCACACTAGGCTTTATTTAAAGGAAAATTGTCAGGTAAGTAATGAAAATTAACCTCACAAACTTGCACTTATTTGGTTGGCATCAATGTCATCTCTTTAAGATCTTGATCAAGCAAACAAAGAAATGTAAAACAAAAGAAGGCTCAAAATGTGTAATATATGGAAAATATGTGTTACAAAACAAATCAGCATAAATTAGTTGAAATATAAGATCTAGAGCCAAGAAAAAAGAATCAGAAGTTTGTTGAAGTCAATACTAGTAACTCCATGATGCATCAATATATTCGAAATTTTAATATCTGCAAAAAATGGTACTACCTTTGTTCCATTTTATGTGTCTCATTTGAGTTTAACACAATTATTAATAAAGTGGTTGAAAAGGTAAATGATGTGGTTGAGATTTGAGTGTAATAAAGTGAAATATTGTAGACCATATATTTCTTTCTAAAAAGGGAAATGACCGGGGCATCTGCGACTGACTGACACTCATGTTTGCCTTGTAGGGCAGAAAAAAGTTCCCCCATGGTAACAGATTTTAAAATGATACTCGACAACTATAGTATAAAAACAAATGTAACAATCGAAAATTGATTCTAGAAAATATTAATATGCTAGAAGTGGGTGGATCCTGTGTTATAAGACCCCAACCGGACCGGGTGGGTCGACCCGGAACCCGGCGACCCGCTTAGGTTATGTTCTGTTACTTCTGTATGACTTCTATTTTTCGGTTCTAATTTTTCTTAAAAAGAAACCAAAACCATTTGGTAAAAAAATGTTTCTATTTCCAAAACCATAATCCAAATAAGTGTTTTTATAAAACGAAAACAGTATTCTCAAATCCACAAAACATCATTTCCATAAATTTGTTATCAATGCCTTCTAGTATTCATAAGACCGCCGTCTGCCAGACCATTGGCCGCCGCCAGTTGTCAAAAAAAAATTCAGCACTTGTTGCCACAAATCTGTTAACGGGCCGCTTCACCGGAGTGGTGCTGCCACTGCTGATCGTCGTAAATTTTCTGCCACTCATCAGCGCAAAGCTATTACTATACCACCACCGCACATTGCCAGAAATTTCTAGCGCTCACTGCTGCTGATCGCCGGTATCACCGGGCACCGGATTGCCGCAGGTTATCTGAAAATTTCCTATGCTCGCTGGCGCAGATTTGTTACCAGACCATCACCCCCGCCTAGTGATGACCCGGGTCGGGCCTCGGGTCAGGTAGAGGTAGGCCCGGGACCGGTCCTGGCTATGGCCGGTGCCGGTTCGGGCCGGGCCACCCGCCCGGGTCACGGGTCGGGCCACCCGCCGGGCCGGGTCATATTTTTTTTTAATTATTATAGAATATACAAATTCTTATTAAAAACAAAGTTGAAGTGCATTTATTTGAAATAGGAACTACATTTGAGAATTGAGAAAAAACAACAATATGAAATACATTTTCTAATAAATATCAATTGGGATTTCCGCCACCGTTGGTTGTTGTTTTCCCTTTGTCACAGGATTTCATACATTATTAGTAAAAATAGCTTTACTTAATTCATTAAATTAATTAACTTATTTTACAATATGTATAATTTTTTAAAAAAAAAATATTTAAAAAAAACTTTAAAAAAAAACAGCTCCCAAACGGCTATATAGCCGTTGGGGCTTTGGGTGGGAGGCAGGGGGTCCCGGGGGGTGGTGGTGTGGGGAGAGGGGTTCAAAAACATCTATAAATACATCTATTTTCTAACATTTTTCTACACCTCTTCTCCAACTCTTCTCCATCTTCATCTTCTCTTATTATCCTACATTCCTACTTATACATCTACCATTTTAAAGATGGAAAGTACATCTTCCCTTATACAAAGCAATTTTGATAAGTGGAAGGACCCGAAGACCGGACTGTGGTTGGCAACTTGCAAGTGGTGCAAGAAAGAGTGTAGCTTGGGGCGTTCACACGGATACGGGATGACAATAAAACATATGAAGTCCTGTGACAAAGGGAAAACAACAACCAACGGTGGCGGAAATCTCAATTGATATTTATTAGAAAATGTATTTCATATTGTTGTTTTTTCTCAATTCTCAAATGTAGTTCCTATTTCAAATAAATGCACTTCAACTTTGTTTTTAATAAGAATTTGTATATTCTATAATAATTAAAAAAAATATGACCCGGCCCGGCGGGTGGCCCGACCCGTGACCCAGGCGGGTGGCCCGGCTCGAACCGGCACCGGCCATAGCCCGGGCCGGTCCCGGGCCTACCTCTACCTGACCCGAGGCCCGAACGGGCCTAGGCCCGGCCCGGTTCATCACTAGGCGGGGGTGATGGTTTGGCAACAGATCTGCGCTAGCGAGTATAGGAAATTTTCAGATAACCTACGGCAATCCGGTGTCCGGTGGTACCGGCGATCAGCAGCAGTGAGCGCTAGAAATTTCTGGCAATGTGCGGTGGTGGTATAGTAATAGCTTTGCGCTGATGAGTGGCAGAAAATTTACGACGATCGGCAGTGGCAGCACCACTCCGGTGAAGCGGCCCGGCAACAGATTTGTGGCAACAAGTGCTGGAATACACTTGTTTTGAACACTTTTTTTAATTTTTTTTTAAAATATTTTTTTTTGAAAATTATACATATTGTAAAATAAGTTAATTAATTTAATGAATTAAGTAAAGCTATTTTTACTTAGAAAAGTGGTTTGATTTATAATTTACAAATGTTACAAAATAGGTGTATAAGTATTTAAACAAATTACATATTGTAAATGTATTTTTAATTTAAAAACAACCTTTAGATTTTAGAAAAATAATTTTAAGTTGTAAGTTTGTAACCAATTAATTAATTTGAGAAGTACTACATATGAAAAAATGAACGCATATTTATTTGAAATATGAAGTACAAGTTTACAAATTAATTTAAAGTACAAGTACAAATTTACAACTTTGAAATATGAAGAATGAAGTACAAGTTTACAATTTTGGAATTTGAAGTACAAGTACAAATTGATTTTAGAAGTGCTACAAAATACATTTTATAATAATTTCTAAAATACTAATCAATCGGAATCTCCGGTATAAGTAGAGCCACCATCGATTGTTGAGTCATCCATAAATTCTTGTGAGGGGGTGATGCTCATTTCTTGAGTTCTACGTGCGGTCTTCAACCAATCGTGGTGGCATATAAGCGTCTCAAGAGACTCTGCGCTCAATCTCGATCTAGATGCCGTTAGGACATTGCCGGCCGAACTAAATTCTTGTTCCACAACAACTATTGAAACCGGTATTGATAGTACTTGCTTATCCATCCGTGCTAAAATTGGGAACGTTCTTTCTTTTGACTTCCACCAGTTTAGAACGTCAAAGTCATCATTTTCTTCAATATCAACTTCTTCAAAATCAACTTCATATGTTAAATACAAAGTAATCTCATTCAATGCGCTTTGTTCAGTAACGTGAGTTGTTTTAGTTTTTTTCATAAGATTGCCAAATGCAGATTTAAAAATCGATTTTTCCTTTAGATGAAGATTGTTCGTGTCGGGGGAGGGGGAGCGTTGCTATATTGTGCATGAAACTCATTAAATAAGGCATAAAATAAAGCACTAACCTCGTTGTATTCCGTTTTCGGATCTATGGGGTTATCGTCATACATTGGAAATTCACCAAAAAAAGCAAGAGAATAGAATTTGAAACAATCTTTCAAATTAGCTAGTCTAAAACGAGGATCGAGAATAAATGCAATATCATAAATATGCGGAATATGTGCATAATATTTTTAAAAAAATTCCTTCATATAATCACAAAAATAACTCACGAAAACGGCATTCTCAAATTCTTTAAAAGCACCGGCGAGATTAACAGCTTCACGAATAAATTGGTTTGCGCTAGGTTTTTAAACATGACTAAAAGTTTCAGTTGCATTAAAAAAAATATCAAAACATTACAAATTTTTTCGCAAGTGTCGATCTCAGCCGAGTTTATAATATAGTTATCATGTAATCATGCTGTTTTAAAAAAGCAGGAAAATGTTCTTTACATCTAAGAACTTTAAGTAATTTATAAGTACTATTCCAACGAATACTCAAATCTTTAGGAAAAGCAACATATCTCACGCCTCTTTCAGTCAAATAAGTTTGTCGTTTTAATTTAAGCTGACCATTACCCCAAATACGTCTTATCCCCCCCTTGACTACCTCCATAGCATCTCCTGACGCTTTTAGACCGTCTTGCACACATAAATTTATAACATGGCATGCACAACGTTGATGAAAAAATCTACCCATCAAAGTATTGGCACCACACAATTCACACAATCTAGGTATAGCAGCAATATTATTAGTAGCATTATCGAAACCGATAGCAAACACCTTATCAATCAAATTATACTCAATTAAAATACGCTCAATCAAAATATAGATATGTTCAGCGGTGTAACGATCATTAAATTCACGAAAAGCAAGAACACTTTTATGCATATTCCAATCCTCATCAATATAATGTGCAGTCAGACCCAAATAATATAAATGATGAAAATCATCCTCCCATATGTCAGAACAAATAGTAACACGTCCATCAAAGTTTGCAAAAAAAGTTTGTAACCTTGCCTTTTCCGCTTTATAAAGCCTTATAATTTCTTTTTTACCAGTTTTGCGACTACAACCTCTATATTGCGGATTTAAACTACCTTGTGCATAATCTTTTAAAGCAAGACTTTCAGAAAACATATAAGGCAAATTTTCTTCACAAATTAAGTTAGCCATACCAGTCAAATTTTGTGCATCATTGTATGAGAAATTACCAAAAGGTTGAGAATTCGCAAACCTCGATATTTGAGTTTGCTTCCCCATTCCGCCGCCTAATTTTGCATACTCCACGGGGTGCTTTGCCTTAAGATGCCTTGCAGCGGATCCGTATCCGCCGGAGGTCCCCAAGCTATAATTGTTGTTGCACCACTTGCAAGTTGCGTGCCAATACCCGGTTTGTGGGTCCTTCCACTTATCAAAATTATTTTTCATTAGTTCAGATTTACTTTTTTTATTACCGGTGGTGGTTTGGGATGAGGCAGGCTCGTCGGCGTCGTGGCTGCCGGCACCCTCCTCCTCGGCCGTCTCCAGTTCCATTTCCTCCGCATCTTCATCCTCAAGCTTCTCTTCGTCAATGGTCGTCAGGATTTTTTGTTGTTGTAGAAAGCGGTTATTATGTCGGGCCAATTCTTGTTGTAGTTGTTCTTCGGACATCGCATCTCCATCTCTCCTTTGGTAACCCGTTTCAAAATCATCTCGACTTTGAGATGAAGAGCCGACAAGTTCTTTACCTTTGCGGGATTTCTTCCTCCCAATCTCGTTCCTTCGATTGCGCTCGAGGTTACCCAAATCAACCGAATATCTACCACCTTCCATCTTAAAAATGTAACAAATATTAATTTGCAACAAATATAATAATGAATACAAAAGTAATGCAACTAATGAAAACTATTTTAATTAATACTTCAAACTAATGTAGTGCAAACTACTTTAATAAAATGTGAAGTACTTTAATTAAGTAGAGAATTAAAGTGTGACTATAAAATACAAATTAAAATTCGAACCCGAATTAAATTATAGCAACTTTTCAAGTACTTTAATTAAATGATTGAACTCCTTAAATAAAATGTTAAGTACTTTAATTAAACGATTGAACTACTTCGTACTATTTTTTTCGTTCAAATATAAATTGAAACTATTATAATGTGACTTTAACTATAATGACAATTAACTAGTTTTTTGAAGTAGAGTTGTTTTAGCAATTAATGGGAATACTAATTAAGTAGTATAATGAAAAATGTAACAAGAATACTAATTAACTAGTATAATGAAAAATGTAACAATTAGTGGGAATACTAATTAACTAATCAAGTATTCAAGTATTGTTAATAAAAAATGTAAGTAATAAGACAAATGTACGAATGTGACTTAAAGTATAATGACAATTAACTAGTTTTTTGAAGTAGAGTTGTTTTAGCAATTAATGGGAATACTAATTAACTAATTAACTAGTATAATGAAAAATGTAACAAGAATACTAATTAACTAGTATAATGAAAAATGTAACAAGAATACTAATTAACTAGTATAATGAAAAATGTAACAAGAATACTAATTAACTAGTATAATGAAAAATGTAACAAGAATACTAATTTACTAATTAACTAGTATAATGAAAAATGTAACAATTAGTGAGAATACTAATTAACTAATCAAGTAATGTTAATACAAAAATGTAAGTAATAAGACAAATGTATGAATGTGTATACTAATTAATGGGAGTAAATGAGTAATAGAATGATTTTAAGTGATATTAATTAAAGTGTAACTAATATATAATATAATGTTTATAGTATATAATATATAAGTATACTACTATAAGATGAGTAATACACTTATATTTTATACTTTAATATATAAACTATATATTAAGTAGATGTAGAATGTATGTATTAAGTGGATATAAGTAGATAATTAATATATAAGTAGATATAATAATCGTATAAGAATTAAATATTAGAGTATAATGGAGAATTGGAGATTGGAGAATAAGAAAATAAGTATATATGAAATATAAGTGGAAAAGTAGATATTATTATGTACTATCGTATTAAGTATATACTAATAGTTTATAAAGTATATTTAATACTTTAATATATAAAGTATATATTAAGTAGATGTAGTATGTATGTATGTATTAAGTAGATATAAGTAGATAATAAGTAGAGATTAAGTAGATAAGAAATATAAGTAATATAGTATATGTATTTATAAGTAGATAATTAATACTTCGTATATAAGTAGATATAATAATTGTATAAGTATTAAATAGTAAAATAAAATATAATGGAGAATAAGAGAATTTGAGAAGATGAATATGGAGATGAGTAGAGAGAGAGAGAGTAGGAATGTAGGATTTAGGAAGAGTTGGAGAAGAGGTGTGAAAAAATGTTTAAAATTAGGAATATTTATAGGTTTTTTTTTAACCCCCACCCCCCAAAAGCCCTGCCCCCCCCCCCCCCCCCGGTACCCACCCAACGGCTATATAGCCGTTTGGGAAGTGGGTCAACAGCCCAAAAGGGTGTTTTAAAAATAAAAGAAAAAAAAATTAAATTGTGACCGTTAGGCCCGGACCCGGGCCCGACCCGGCCGGGCTGGGTCGCCAAAACATAGCCCCGAGCCCGGACCCGCCACCCCCACCGGTTCGGTGCCCAAACCGGACCCGGACCCGAGAACCGGGCCGGTTCTGGGCCCACACAGTAGCGGGCCGGTCCGGTCCCGGGCCGGGTCCATGACTACCCCCGCCTAGTTAAGTAAAATAAAAATATGTAATCCACTTTTTTGAACATGAATATGTTTTCGTCTTATTCTATGTAGCACCAATAGAGGAACGCAAAAATGCGAAAACGTAGAATAGGTACAGGGATACGGAAAAAAGTAAAATACTGATACGAGAGTATATTTATAAATATTAAAAGTTATGGGAGTATATTTATAAATATTAAATTATGGGGGTGTATTTAAAAAAGATGCTCAATGAAGATAGAAAACAATACTCTAATCAAAGTTGTTAAGATTTTTATGATTTATTTTTTAGGCGTTTTGTTATAAAAAAAAAAAGTTGATGCATGTACTAGAATTTCTAAAAATAACTATCAAAAAAAGTGGGAAGTTGTTAATAGATCGCATATACAAACCAGTAATGTAAGGTACAAGTGTCCTAGAATATCTGATACGGGAACATTTCCGATACGCCGAAACAATACCCTAGTCAAGTACTTGTGCTACATGGTCTTATCTCTTAGAAAATTATACTAGTATTTGTTTACATACGAAAGTGATTATTTGTTTTGAGGAAAGACAAAGGCCAAAATGAATCCACACCAAAAAGCAAAACGATACCGAAGGGCCTTACCAAGTACCAACCGCTTTTTCCTTTTCAAAAAATTTACACATTCAGCTGCCATTTCAAATCATGCATGCTACACTGCAGTGATTTTTTACTACAGGACAACTGTTGTAAGCTCAACCACTGGACAGGAAACCCGACCTTGATGCCAAACTGCTTATCAAGAAAAAACAGTCCAAGTGTTGTTTTTACCAACTACATCAGCCCAAAGTAATTAAGCAGAAGTATTTAATCAATAACATGTAACATAAATAAACGTTCATTTAACATCTGATAGGTTTGAGAGCAAAAGTTTCAGATGATTTGAGGATATACGATGTAGATGTTCCTTAAAGTGATTCTTTGATCTTGTGTGCCTCCTACGTGCATAATGAAATGCTACGTTTGACGATTTTTCATATTCAGAGCAAAAGCCACTCCTCAAGTCCTCCGCAAGTATGCTTTCATTAATCTTATAATCATGCCGAACCAACGAACACCCCTAGTATTTTCTATTTGAGGAAAGAGCTCATGCTACTGTTTCTAGTGACTCCATATAAGATTTAATGTTCATATCATCTTCTTCAGATTGCTGATATGGCAGCGGTTTGAAAAGCTTCCATAACCCAGAAGGGTGTCCCAGCTTGCCTCTAACGTCTCTAGCAACTCTCCCATATATACTTTCACACTCTGGATAAGGCTTGACATAGAGATTGTAAAACTTCAATCTACTAGGTCTAATCAAGGCCTTCAGCCCCACCTCATCACCAAGCCCACCTATTGATCTCAAATGCTCAATAACCTGAAACCTAGGAGCAATCTGTTTCTCAAAATTCACCCCCAAATATTCTGGAACGTCAGCTATGCTCTCAACATCAAATTTCATTGTCTGCACTAAGAAATGTATTTTCCTCTCAATTTCCTCTACATCATATAAAACTGTTCTTGGCTCTTTCCATATCACACTGTATGCATCTCTGTGTGTTAAACCGTATTTGTGCAGGCAATCAACTCTCAGCTTCACTTGGTATCCAGCCCTGAATGCTCCGTCTCGGAAAATATCCTCTTTAATGGACTCCCTACACTTTAAACTTCTTAGCAGTTTCAAGCAATGAGAAAGTTCACCAACTTCCAAACCAAGGATTCTTGAATCTCTCAGAACCTCCAACCGTACTACATCTAAACCAAAATCAAGGCTTTTAAATTCGTTAAGCAACGGTTTAAGCCTATTCTCAACCCCAAATGCTAATACACCTGGGTATGACCCTAGAATACGACCTAACTCAGTCTTTACTAAGCCAATGCTAGTCATCAAGAATTCAGTTTTACACTGAATTCTATCCGGACTAGACAATACTACTGTAGGGAATTCTTCGAAAACCCTAACCATGGTACCCTCACTCAACCCTAAAGCCTGCAAAGACTTCAAACAAGCCAAAACATCATCTGGTTCTAATTCAAACTTCAAACACACTTCGAGAACATTCTTAATAGCCAATGCAGAAAGATTAAAACCCTCAATTCCAGAAATTTCCGTTTCCCATTTCTTCATATATTCGTACTCCAGCACCTTAGGGCAGCTAGAAATTACAGAAGTAAGGAACTCTTGAGAGCGCCCCAGAGAAAACAAAATTTTAATAGATTTTTCGATTCTGGAGGGGTCAGAGTTCAGCAAAGATCGATTCTTTGACAGGAAATCATGAAGTTCAGACAGTGGAAAGCCGTACCTTTTCAGTAGATTAGAAACTGAAATTATATTCCTTTGGAGATATTTTTGCGTGAAGTCTAGGGGAAATTGGATTTGAGATTTCACATTTGGGCCTCTTGGTTTTGCAGAGAAGTGTCGAAGAAGATCAGGGTCAGATAAATTGGATCTTGAGCCGAAAAGGGATCTAAAAACCCTAATCGCCATACCGGTGAGATTGAGAATGATTTGGATGTTTGCTGCAATGCATTGAGCAGACTGAAACCCCCTTTCAAAGAGAAATTCTATTTCAAAAATGCTATTTGTACCCATTATAATACCCACCATATACCCACTATATATACTCCCAAAAATTAATTACTTCCTTTCACCTCTTTTACCCCCTCCCCATCTCTCCTCTCTCCCCCTTCCCTTCATCTACGCCTTTTCCTTCCCCCCTCCCTTCTTCTACGCCCCTTTTCCATCTTCTTTATTTTTTCTTCTTCTACAAAATCTTTCACTTCACCAACAACGATCAACTCAGGAAAATCATGAGAGTGTCTTTCTCTCACACATAATACAATCGTTTCAGCTCTAAAACTTTGAATGTTGAGGTAATAATTTACTTTAGTTTGTTTTGGCTTTTACGTTTATACTTTTTTCTTTTTCAGATTTTTATGTATCTTGTTATGCTGGAAGCAAATATTTTAGTATAACTTTGAATGTATGATTATTTTGTTTCAGACTTATGGATTGGTGATGCTAAATCTTGAAATTTCAGTTAAACTATTCTACTTTTTTTACTATGCACATGACATGTTTGTTTAAACGTTTCATTGAAATTTTAATGAATGTTTTTTGAAGTTGTTATTACAGTTGTAGTTGTTTTATATATGTTGTTTGTCATCATCAAATTGCATATTTTATTCATGTAAATTTCTAAGATGAACTTATTTTTTGGATTAGTTTGTAAACTGTAATGTATATTTATGGTTCAGAATTTATTTGAGGTAAAATGGGAGAATATGGGAAAGGAGAAGGTTACAACTTCTCACTGTGTGCTTATTTATATTGTTTGTGCTTGGTTAAAATATTGTCTATGTGTTCATTTATTATGTTTGTGCGTAGATAATATTTGTCTGTGTGTTCATTTATATGTAATAATGTTGATGCAATTTTTGTGTGTGAAATGATTAAAGTCAAGAATGTTTCTTAATGTTTGTCATTGAATTTAATTCCTTTTAGCAGGTGCTTAAGAAGCATGAATTTAAATGCTTTTAGCAGGTGTTTAACAACATGGCATGCTTGGGAGCTCTTACTAGGCAAATATGTCTCTAAGGAAGTTTGTACCAAAAGTTACAACCATGAGAAAGTAACAACACGATTTTGATACTGATTGTAGGAGGGGGTGGGATGTGAATTTTTTGCTTTGAAGGGAAATACTGGGGTGAAGTAACAAGAGAAGGAGATAAAAGGGGGATGTGGTTGTTCAGGATGTAAAGTATTTTCAATTGAGGAACTAAAGACCCTAATTTATGCTATGGAAAGTGAATTGGAAACCATTAAAGTGATTGTTCAATTGAAGTAAAATACAAGCTATTTGGCAAGAGAATGAGTTATGTATTTGTATTGATTTAATTGTTATTGACATGGTTAAAAAATGTAATAGGTAGAGTAATTGATAGATGCAACTGTTATTGTATACTAGTATTAGTTATTGTTGTACTATGAAGTTCATGTACTGTTTGGTCAATGAAATTGAGGTACAGAATCAAGCTTTATGGTTCTATGTTGTTTTTTGGCATTTGGTTTTTGTTTCTGATTTTTGTTGTGGCTATTATTGTGAATGAAATTGTTATAAGACTTTCTGAAATGGACATATTGATTGCTAAGAGGAATGAAACCACTCATCATTGTGAAAAAATGGAATACACATTTGTCTTGTTTTTAAATAAAAGATGCAGGATCGAAAATGGTCTAAAAACAAAATGCAGTTCACATGATGAGTTTCAAATCTGTTACAAAACAGTTAGTACTTTCATGCTCACCTAGCAGTCAACACTCACCCTCATTCATCCATTGTGACCTACTATTCTTTTAGAAATAACTATTATAAAAAACCAGATCAGTTAAAATACAAAAAATGAGCTCAAACCATCCGAAATAATAAATTAATGAGCCTTTTTACATAAAAATATTCAGCTCTTAACTAATGAGCAGAAAATAACAAAACAGCCATTCCAAAATGACAAAACATTTCTTCCAAAAAAAGCAAAACATCCCTTCCAAGATAAAGAACTACAAGCATGTCAAAGTATCCATCTTGTTCTTCTTACACATAGTACATAATTATTTTTAACAGCTAGTAGGCTACTTAATTAATTTATTCTACTAATTCTTCATCTCTTGTTGTATAGCTGATGCTTGTTGTACCTCTTCCACCTCGGTCACCCCTTCCACCTCTTCCACCTTTGCCATGTCCTCCAGCCCTAACAGATTGACCAAGAGTTGGACAAATTGTCTTGTTATGACCCTTTTGTTTACAAATTGAACATGTCATCACCCTACCTCTTTCAGATAATTTTCCCGTTGGAGGTTCAGTTTCTTTGTTTGCATTTAACTCCTGTGAATTGTGATGT